GGAAAGTGCTCCTCTCTCGCACCAAACCTACACTACACACTTCACACCTCAGGGTGAATCGTAACACTTTATTATATGTAAAACGGTATCTCAAGGTAACCGATACACACTGAATCGTCACGTTTACAAGGTGAATGATAGATTAGATTTCGTGAAGAGACAGATGCCCCTCCCGATACTTTATAAAACTTATATTTACAAATTGTGTCGTACGAGACAAATGCCCCATACGACTTGACCCGTCAATTAATCTGAAGGCGGGTGTAATTAATTTGAATAAACTACCGACGCGCGAGACATGTGCCTCACGCGGATTAATACGTAAGAAATATCCAAAAGGTCACCGCACTTCGGAGACAAAATATTGAGGAAAATTAGCTCAATCTTACGACTAAACGCCTAATAAACTGACTGCGTTAAACCAGATTAATCTCAAACGCACTGTAATATTCCTATGCGAGATATATACCCCACATGGAATATTATACGTAAGACAACATTTCATCTAAACTCTTCGTGGGCCTATAAAATACACAAATAAGATCAAAATCAAAAGGGGCTTTAAATTAGAGAATAAACGATAACCTGACACTCTCTATAAACGTGTCGCCATGCGAGATAATTACCCCACACGGAACACAACCTGCAACTTAATAAATTACACACTTCTTCTGGTTTTTAGTATACTACTAATATTGAATAGCAATTCTACAGGGGACTTCAAATTAATGGATACAGGTTAGAATAACACTCTCTGAAAATAAAATTAAACTTTATCCTCGCTTAACCTACGGAAAAACAAAATGGAATACTCTGAAATAAAATTTCACTGACTTTTCATTTCACAAAAACTAAATCAAAATGACTTCTTACTTGAAATTTAGGTGGTCTTTTTATAATCGAACCGACGAGACAGATGCCTCCGCTCGATTATAAGATATAAAACTTCTAAAAGAGTCTAGAGTCTCGAGGTGAGACATTTGCCTCTAACCGAGGGTTAGAACGTTAAATCCTTTATGGACTCGATACTGGAAAACTAAAATCGAGACAACTTGGAAAAAATTGACATTAAGATCTGAGTTTGTCAAAGAATTAAAACTTAAGACTTTTGGAGGAACACTTACCCATATAGAAATATGTCCCCGTCGACAGTCGGCGACTCTACACTCACTTCCGCCATCAACGAAAACTTACAACTTGATTCCTAGACGGTACGGCACTGAATGTCCACTGGTCACCTCCTAGAGCTCCTTCCCCTCTCAAGGTCGTGGTGGGGGGGGGGGTAGCTAAATGACGGTGGTGCCTGACGTACTCCACGACATATCTGTGATTTACTTATCTCGCGGGAAATTTGAAATTCACTGTCACAACCTTATAAAAGTAAAATGTTTATTTTGCCCCCCGCACGAGTCACAAAATATGTGTATCTCACGTACATTGGGGTTTAAAGAATTCATAAAAAAGTGGTGAAGCATAGAAATTACTTCGTTGGACCCTTTCTTTGCAACTGTCTCGTCGTATGTGTAAAAAAAATTGATGAACCATCAGAGAGTACATGTATGTTAAACAAATAAAAAGAGAGCTGTCTTTTATAATAAAAATCTTTGGTTGTTATGTTTGGAAGTGGTAGATTTCTTCCATAATCTATTGTTATAGCTTCAAACTGTCAGATTTCTGTGCTTTAAGTCTATCAGATCTTTTAAGACTATAAAATTAATCTGCTCTTCGTTTGTGTAATTCCATTTCAGTGTGTAGCTTATTTAACTTCTTTTGTAAATCTTACAATTCGTTAGGATCAACAGTTCTAGAAATTTCCTCATTAATACTTCCCTCTTGGACTTTGAGTGCATTATTGCACGTGTCGGATCTTGGATATCCAAATCCAATGTTGCACTTATCAAACTCTTCTCTAAATTTTTCATACGATACTTCTATTCCAACATTTATTTTGCAGAAACATACCTAATAATAGAATTTTGCAGTGATGTTTTATGTTAGTGTAGCGTAGTGACTAGCTATTTTTTTATTCGTATAATAATGATGTGTATTTTTATAATGACAAAATATATTTACTAGTTAGGCTATTATTTGATGCAAATGTTGTAATATCATTGTTTTTATTACTGTATATGCGTATTATTTATAACACTGCTATAATAAAGTTAAATATAGATAATGTTGAATAAAAAAAACAATTTAAGTCTTTACTTGTTTTTAATCTGTACAAGACAATCTTTTATCAATTCTTATTACAAAGCTTATCTAGCTTACGTTTTTTGGCACACTTCTTTCCTTCCTCGATTGTTCGTTGTTTTTTTTTTCATTTTACTATAACTATTCAGTAAAATATTACAGAATGTTAATAAACATTTTTTAAACAATGGGGTTATATCTTTACCACAAGAAAGATATACCTCAACATTTGTGCTGTCGAGAACATGGTACATTACCGACATTAGTACCTTTCTTTGACATTTTTACTTAAAAAATGTACTTTCAAATCTTTCACCAATCATAACTTTAAAAACCTTCAAACCAGTAATCAATGTATTTATGATGAGGTCAGAGGGATATTGTAAATTGCCCCTATCTATCACGGTAAAATAATAAGACATTGTATGTGAGTTGAGGATTGTTTGCTTATCGATTAAAACAAATTTAGATTTACAACAGTTGCATTGAAATTTTTTTAATAATTTATGACAAATGTACCCTCCTATGTAGGTAATACCGACAACATCATTTTCGGAAATATCAGCACTTTCTAACTCATGAGAAATGTCTTCAAATTCTGAAACATCAAAAAAAATGTTTGTTTCCCCTTCTGGACCCTCAGTTTCTTCTACACTAAAGTCCCTTATCTCTACTTCCCGATTTTTAGCACAAAATACCTTTATAATGCTAAGAGTTTTAAGCTTCTTTTCTCATTCGAGTACTTGTGCAACAGATATATTGTAACTAGCACCATTCATTTGACGATACTGTCCAAACCTAGCCTCTAGTCTGTTTGGAACTTTCCTAGCAACACATACTTAAAGTGTAAAACATTAAATAAACATTCTACAATTTCTAAAACTGTACTGACGGTATGTTTAAGTGCAAACTGTGTGTCAAGTGTGAGTTTTCCATTTCTTTTTTTATTATTTGCTGACTCTCCTTGGACCATAATATTATTCCATTTCTCTAACCAGACTAGAAATGATCTTAGAAATAACATATTCTCACGATCTACAGTGCTTATTGCTTGGCAATCTCTATCATTAAACCTCGCTCCCTTGAAAGCATGATTTACATTAACTATTTTCCACCACCTAAGTACAATTTCTAAAAAACTTATAGTACCAACCACATTGCTATCTTGTGTTGTAGCTGATATTGCTTTAGAGCGGCTACATTTTTTGATCAAACAATTTAGCACGTAAATTTACATTTTGCCTCTCTAGAGAAGTAGGGAACAATACTTTCTTACTTAATGGTGGAGCTAGCTTGACTACACTATCCTGCTCCATATTTTGAAGTATTTTCAAATCAGAAACACTTGCAGTAAGTACTATATCATGACTACTAAAATCTGGAAAATAGAAAGTTTGTTTGGAATCGGTCTGATTGAGCCAGTTGTTACGTATACATTTGAATAGGTGTACTGAATCAAACAGTACAAAAATATGCTGAGTACCATCATAAGGATTTACAAATTTGGAAGTTAAAGTTTCCCCTCATAAACTTGTAAACATTGACCTATTAATGCGGTTGTTATCAGATATAATACTAAACACTCTATAACCTACTTTAGACAACAATTCCAATACTTGTAAAGTAAGTTTGTGTAGTTGTTTGCCTGTTAAATCTTTACAAGGGAATAAACCTACCACTTCTTTATTGTTTGATAATAACGATGATACCATAAACGTTTGGATAGTCGTGGCCAAATTAGACGAGTTTTCACTTGACTGCACAGCTATACCTTCAAGCTTACCACCTTTATACGTCACTTCCGGTCTTACATAAATCTCATCTAGAAGCAAGTTACAATGCTTTTCGTGTTCACTCATTGCAGATACTTTCTTTTTCAAATAGTTTATATGTGATGAGTCTATTCCTGAGCTACCAATACCTAAGTTGCAGGTAAAAGATTTCAAATACCGAGGGTGTTGCATATAGTCATTAACTTAGACCGTCTGATATATTTGTATGCCGCGGGATATGAGAAAAAAACCGTCGCAAACCAAAAGAGTTGTAACAAAGTACCGGACCTGTTTAGTTACGGATAGATTGATTTGTTCTTTATAAAAAAAAATTGTTTTTCACTAATACATTTGTCTTCCACCAAAAAAAACAACAGGGGTCATTGTAAATGTTATCAATTACTTCATTCAAAACAGCTAGTTTGTCACGTTTTGAGATTTGCAATTCGACACCTTGCTGGAATAATAGATTGCAGATCTGCTTTAACTGTGACCACTTAGTTATTCTAGGGCATTTGCTCACTTCTAATATTTGGGGGTTGTCATTCAGTACAAAGTCGTCTTTGACAACTGTAAAAGAAAGATCTGTTTTGATAATGAGCGCCAAATCAACTTTCGGGAACTGTTTCTCATTAAATATAGTAGTAAACAAACATAACTGATTATTACTTACTTTAGAGTAAACATTTTTCAATTCTACCGCGCACTTCACTAAAAACCCATTATTTATTTCTTCATAGCTATTTACTTTGTCTAAACGGTTCTGTTCATTTTTTGTCTGCTCAGCTCTTTCTTCTATCTCCCTCTGTCTCTGATTGGGATCCTTTCTTTCTTGAGGAAGTACTTTTGATAGGTAACAAGGCAAATTTTCAAACATCGTTGGTAAAGCATCGCAAGATAACTTTAACTGGTCCCGTTTGACAGTCAAAACAGTACCTACATGAAGGGCACTCAGGTATATTTGATAATTGGAGATAACTATCAAAATATACCCGAGTGACTTGGCGCTACTAGGTGGTCAATATTGCGGACGCTTCAATCCTTGATTAGAAGTTGCTCCTCATCTCCAATTAGCTCCGATCTCCGCAGAGCTGATGCCATTCTCTTCCGCAATGCAACGCCATCCAACGCTCCCAGATCCGTCACTGACGTCCCGGTTGCGATTTGCTCTGTGTACAAGCAGACGTACACTCCGCAATCTACGCTGCCTGTGGGCTGTTGTATGCAGGTGGCCTTCTCTATAATATCCCATTCTGGGGCGCGGAAATTCCACCGGATCTTCGGGCCAGCCGCTCCAAGTAGGTACAAAATATCCTGGAGGATGGTTGGCCGAGCTCTCCCTAATGAGTCGAATTCCTGTTACAGTTTTCGCTTCGGCCATGCTACGATTAAAACCCAATTGTTTTCAAGGATGTGGACAGGAAAGAATATTATGTCATGGTTAAATATATTTGTTCCCCGATGCCAGTTCTCAACCCTGGGGAACCCACCCTGTTTGTACGCAACGTACAGGAAGGTGTCGATAGCCCAAACTAGGTAAGCGAATACTTTGGGTCCCTGTTCTGGCGTCAAAATTTGTGACGTATTTTTGCTTAAGTGAGATTTTTAAGCAAAGGGTAACGTCTTAAAGAGGAAGCCTGGGTGAAAACTTGAGCTGGGTTTTGTTTCAGAGCTCAAAAATCAAAGTTTTAAAATAAAAAATATATTTTGGGCCAAACTTCCCCTTTTTTACTACTATTTAACCAATAAATTTTGTTTAGGTCTAATAGTCCAAGAATTTTAGGGGGAAAACTGCCATTTGACCTAACAAATTCAGACTAAGTGGAAACTTTGCACAGTTGTTTAGCAAGCCTAAATTAATAAAATATCAAAAGTCCCCATAAATCCCGGCTGTGCTTCAGCCGCCATGTTGGAAGATGGCGGACAATTTTCACTTTTTTGACAATATTTCACAAACTATTGGTATTAGAGAATTTTTGTAAATACACAAGTTAAAGAACGTCTAAAAATACATCTTTCTTGTATTACAAGGTTTGCTGTATTTCCAACGGTTATTGAGATAAATAATAAAAGTTAGTTTAGAATCTTAGCGTCGGCTGCTAGACTTTTCAAAAATTAAAACTTAATTTCTAAAAAACTGGGACCCTAAACTAAAATTATGGCATCGACATTCCCTAGTTCTAAAAATTATCTTTCTTTCAACACAAAAATCATGAAAATCCGTCGAGTGGTTGATTCAGAATCGTGAAATAAAAAAACACTGTTTCGTTTTAACATTATAGATAGGTAAAGGAAAATAATTGTTAATATGTAAAAAAAAATAAATTACCATTTACCTGACTGGATCATTACTAAAGTATTTCCTAAAAAAGTAAGATAGATTCCCTATTTAAATAACTTTTAATTTAACGAGTACTAGGTTTACTGCTATAGGAATGGTACTAAAGTGTGTATTTATGTTAAATATTAATACCTTATTATAAAATAAATAAATTTGCCAAGTTTGATCAAAATATATCCATAAATAAGCAAACTGCAACAATTTTATTTTCCTCCATAAGAATAACATGGGAATTTTAAATTTAGTACTAACTTTTATTATTTATCTGAAGCACAGCCGGGATTTATGGGGACTTTTGATATTTTATTTATTTAGGCTTACTAAACAACTGTGCAAAGTTTCCACTTAGTCCGAATTTGTTAGGTCGATTTTACTAATATTCTTCTACTATAAAAGACAAATTCGGAATTCACAATCCAAATGATCAGTGATCATTCGCTATTAATAATGATCAATTCAAGGATCAATTCTATCATCACAGTCTTAGACCCATGTAACGTTGTATTCTAGTGTTATTGTTTGGCGATAATTATCAGTGTTGCGGATAAGAAACAGATAAGGATGCAACATTTGGTTTACTGATTAGAGGGTTAGCGTCTGTATGCCACGAACTGAGTAGGAGTTATTACAGTGAGATAGAGCAATTCATTTTATACTTAGCTGGTATATTTACCATTTTATTCATTTTATTACTCTTTGTAGCAGCAAAACTGGGTACTCATTAAACCTTACTTAATGCAAATAGATTTAATTTAAAATCTGGCATATGAAAACTCGCCTAGTCTGCAGGTTTGCTGCATCGGGGGTATTTTCTTAATTTTTGTAGTTTGTATTACTAAAATAGGTACAAAAGTATCCCTTTATCTAAGCAATTAAATATTTATCTAAACAAGTATAATAAATAACTATTAAATTGTGAAAATTTTCAAACATTTCTCGTTCAAAAAGGGCTGCTAATGTTTGTTGCCATATGAATTAAATTGCATACTATATTTAGTTGTTTTGTTTTCTATTGCACTGTTTGTTTAGTTGCAATATTTAAATGTTTTTCATAGCATTGTCACTTTAATTCTCATTCGCAAATAAATAAATTAATTTAACAAATAAAATCAGAAGTGTTACTGTTTCTGGTGTGTGCGACTAATATTATTTAAAAGTATGTCTCAGATCTGGCCATACCTTGGTGCCATATCTGGACTAATTTCAGATCTGGATCTCAGATATGACCAGATGCCAGATCTGGAACGTGTATTTCCAAAATCACGTTGGAGTGTTTTTGATGTCATCCCAGATCTGGCACCCACATCTGGCCAGATTAACTCTTAAAACCAGATCTGGCCAGATATAGAATCCAGAACCAGTCGCTAGTTGCTGAACATATGCATGCTCAATGTGTTCTAGACCCTCTGTGGAAAAAGACAGCACAGTTTGAAGATTGATTTAAATGGGTGAGCTAACGTAAGCTAGATACGCTTACGTATCTAGTTTATCCACTTTTCTATAAGAGTCACGCTATAGTTCGGATGAGTCATGGACAATTAATTGTTTTATCTAGAAAAGCAGGTATGCACTACGTCATAGCATTTGTAGGTTTAATTTAATAATAGCAATCATGCTTATCGTAGGCATACTTGTTCAAGAATATGCCGTGGTAGGTTTTGTTTATAAATTGTATTTTTTATTCCTTTTCAAATGTTGATATTGATTTGTGTTCGTGCAAAGGTGTTGAAATTTATTTGTCAAGGGCATGAGCGGTCCTCTATGTTTGTTTTTAGTGTTTAAAAATTACTGTTAATAATAATGTAACATATAATTTAATTAGGCTATTGTGTCCTGAACTTAAAACATCGTTTTCAAATTAATGTAAACCTTATTTTTACATTCTTTTGATTTTGATCATAACAAATTCCAAGTAACGTTTGGTAAAATTAATCTTATTTACTTATTGTTTTTATAAAAATCCATATTGTTAATAAAAATGGATTGTTCGTCATATTGCAGCAAAAACATCCGTTATAGCAAATTTCCCTTAGGGAAGTAGCTCACGGTAAGATCTAGGCCCAGGACAGATTTATTTTTATTTTTATGTCCCTAGAGGCCAAAAACACTATTCGTTCAAATTTGTATACTGTATATTTATATGGAATTATATATATGTATACATAGTGTAGATTTATATATAGGTATATCTATATCTAAAGCGGAAGTATGTATGTATATACCCTATGGACACCGAAATAGCTTGACAGATTCTAATGAAACTTTCAGGCATTATTAAGAACTATTCAAGGATGGTTTGTGTAAAGTTTGGTGCAGATTCGTTAAAAGGCCTTCGGCCCAGTGACTCTGGAGTTTCCCATGTTAACCTAATTTATTTGTACTGTTGGATATAATAATGGGAACAGCCCAAAAAATTAAAGTGAAAGTAATAAATACCTTTTGCAAGAGTAAATTTGCTTACTGAACTTGTAGTGTAGTGGGGTACCCCATGTGTCTTCTTCAGTGGCTAACACGGAACTAGCTTCAGAGATAACGTTGGGGTTGACCTTTGATACTGAGGCTGTTTATACAGGTTGGGTGACTAAGGAATAGGGAAATTGTTAAACTTGATTGTCTATACCGCCCACCAAAAAAAATTTAAAAACTTTTTTTTTACACAAAATTGAAAAACAAAAGCAAACACCTTGTTCAAAAAAACTAAAAAATCTTCTATGGAGTATGTAAATATACTTCTTCTTACTCCATGGGGAGAGGACAGAGCTTTGAGACTGACCTCTTGAAAACTCCATTTGAAGTTTTGACGCTCACAACACGGACAATACCGTCTTCGCCAGGATGAGTTTCAATAATTCTGGCAGTTAACCATGATGCAGGTGGCAAGTTTGAATCCTTTATTAAAACTAGTTCGCCAATCTTCAGGTTAGGATTTTGGACGAACCATTTTTGTCGTTGTTGTAGTTGGTGTAAGTATTCTAGATTCCAACGATTCCAGAAGTGCTGTAGAGTTTGTTGAATTAGTTGCCACCGTGACAGTCGATTCATAGGTGTTGAAGTGAAGTCTGCTTGTGGTAAAGCAACTAAGGGTTGGCCAATTAAAAAGTGACCAGGAGTCAGCGGTTCGAACTCATTAGGGTCAGACGATAGACTACAGAGGGGTCGTGAGTTGAGAATAGCCTCAATCTGAGTCAAAAGTGTGGAGAATTCTTCAAAGTTTAAAATTTGACTGCCTAGAACTCGTTTTATGTGGTGTTTTGTTGATTTAATGCCAGATTCCCATAATCCGCCAAAATGAGGTGAGGAAGGGGGTATAAAATGCCATGTGATTCCTTGATTTGATAGTTTGGGAAGAATTGAATCAAATTGTTGAGAGAAGAATTGATACAGCTCCGTAAGTTCTCGATTCGCTCCAACAAAATTTGTTCCTTGGTCAGAGAAAATGTCACTACATAAACCTCTTCGAAAAATGAATCGCTTGAAAGCGGCAAGAAATGCTTCAGTAGAAAGGGATGACACCATTTCCAAGTGCACAGCCTTGGTTGCCATACAAACGAACAGACAAATGTAACTTTTAAGAAGTTGTGGCTTCCTCAACTTATCAGACTTGGTCGAATAAGGACCGCCAAAATCAACACCGACTTTAAGAAAAGGTCGAGTGGAAACTATTCTCTCTTCAGGTAAGTTACCCATAAAAGGTTGTGGAGTTTTACCTTTACATCTTGCGCAAGTAACACATTTGGCTAATCTATGTCGAATGACAGTGCGGGCAGATATTATCCAAAATTGTCTGCATAGCAGTGATTGTAGAGTTCTAGGGCCGACATGTAAATAATTCAAATGGTAATGATCAATAAGCAGATAAGTTAGATGTGAATTCTTCGGCAAAAGCATAGGATGTTTTGCGTTGTAAGGAAGCTGGGCTTTCTCTAGACGTCCGCCGACACGTAGAATACCAGATGAATCGATGAAGGGGTCCAGTCGTTGCACTGCAGGAGTACAAGTCTTCTGTTTCAGAATACAATCGAAGTGTTCTTGGAAGAATTTTTGCTGAGTAAGCTTCACTAAAGTACCAAGAGAAGTATTCCGTTCAGTCGCTGTCAGGTACTTTGTTTTAGTTAAAGGTTCTACCTTGCGGCAGTTACGAATAAATCTCAAAATCCAACCAAAACAATTTTGGAGTTTAGTTAGATTAGAAAAGTCTTCCAAAGTTGAGTACAATGGCGTTGGTTGAGGGATGCCAACTGAAGCAGTAACTATTTTTGAGGCGGGGCGAAATTCATTTAAACCCTCCTCAGGGATGTTAGTTTTCTGCACCAGGGTAATGGGTGGCCAAGATTGTTGGTCTTCGCTAAGCCAGGTAGGACCATACCACCAAAGCGAGCAGTCTAGTAGTTGATGAGGGAGCAGGCCTCGAGAAGCTACATCAGCGGGATTACTTGTAGTCGGAGTGTGCGACCAGCAGGACGGTTCAATGAGGTGTTGAAGTTCAGCTATGCGGTTAGCAACAAAAGTTTTTAGGAGATGCGGAGAGGTATGAATCCAGTGTAAGACCACCATTGAATCGGTCCAAGCGTAGAGGGGAATATTTTCATACTTGCATGAAATAATAATTTTGCAAAATGACATTGCTTTACTTAGCAGAAGTGCACCACAAAGTTCGAGTTTAGGAATACTTATTTTCTTGAGGGGAGCAACTTTTGACTTCGCCATTAGCAGATTGGTCATAACAGAGCCATCAGAGGTGACAACTCTGAGATAAACCGAACATCCATAACCAAATTCCGAAGCGTCCGAAAATCCATGGAGTTGCGCACCAGTAGAATTTTGAGGCAAAACGTTCCTTGGAATTCGTAATTTACTTAGAAGCGGCAAGTCATGAAAGAAGTTTTTTGACTGAGTGAATAAATCATCGGGAAGAATCTCATCCCAATCCAAACCAAGAAACCATATTTGTTGCATCATACACTTGGCCCAGAGTACGACAGGGGTGACTAAGCCCAAAGGGTCAAAAATACGGGAAATCATAGACAAAATTCCTCGTTTGGTTGGTAAAGTTTTCTGAATAGGAACTTCATAAGTAAACTCATCGGTGTTTTGGTTCCACTTTAAACCAAGTACCTTAATGAACTGATTGTGGTCCTTATCTTCAGAGAATAAAATATCTTGAGACTTGCTTACAATATCCTCTAAAAGTTCACGAGAATTACTGGCCCATTTACTTAGTTCAAAACCACCACGCTTTAAGAGCTCAATCAATTCAGATTTGAGTTTGAAAGCTTCATCTAGGGAATCGCTACCAGTGAGACAATCATCAACGAACATGTCATTCAAAATAGCCTTGCTAGCGAGTGGGAAATCGGCACCTTCATCAGCTACAAGTTGATGTAGCGTTCTAATGGCCAGAAATGGTGATGAACTAACCCCATAGGTGACAGTATTCGATGCATAAGTAGCAAGCGGTGAGTTTTGGTTTTCTCTCCAAAGAATGGTTTGGAAAATCCTATCTTCAGGATGGATCAATATCTGACGATACATCTTACAGATGTCTGATGAGATAACAAAAGGGTGAAGGCGAAAGCGGGTCAAGATTTCAGAAACATCATTTTGTAGTTTCTTGCCCGTTAATAGCTTGTCATTGAGAGAAAATCCATTTGAACTGCGGGCCGAGGCGTTGAATACAACTCTCAATTTAGGATTTTGTTCTGAGTTCTTAAAAACTCCATGATGCGGAATAACGTAGGTTGAAGTAGTCGAAGTTGAAGAATGAAGCTGAGTCATATGGCCTAAATCCTCATATTCCTTCATGAAATTTACATAGGCCGATTTGAAGTTGAAATCACTCTGGAAACGTCGCTCAAGAGCGTGAAAGTTACGTTCTGCATGGTGGAAAGTGTTTCCTAAGTCAACTGGATTTTCACAGAACGGAAGTCGAACAATATATCTTCCAGAAGGATCCCCTATTCCTTCATGAAATTTACATAGGCCGATTTGAAGTTGAAATCACTCTGGAAACGTCGCTCAAGAGCGTGAAAGTTACGTTCTGCATGGTGGAAAGTGTTTCCTAAGTCAACTGGATTTTCACAGAACGGAAGTCGAACAATATATCTTCCAGAAGGATCCCTGGAATGTGTTTTAACGAATATTCTCTCACATGCTTGATCTTCAGGACTTATTGGCTTAGATTGTGGTAAATCTTCAAGTTCCCAAAATAGTTTGAGATGTTTCTCAAGTGAGGACTCAGTAATGGACAAGTTAGTGCAGATAGAAGAGCACGTTGGTTGGTTTTCAAAATAAGACAGACAGGTTCTACCAATTAAGGTCCATCCATAAATGGTTTTGAATGGAGTAGGGAATCCAGGAGGGCTATTTGACCGCCCACCGTCACAAATCAAGGGAAATAAATCAGCTCCAATGAGGAAGTCAACCGGTGAAGGCTCATAAAAATGTGGGTCGGCTAAATTCCAATCCTTAAAATGATTGATAATGTCCTTGGTTAACCGTACAGACGGTAAAGGAGAAGTAATCTTGTTCAAGACAATAGCAGTAGTTGGAATTAGAGGAGTATGAGCTTTGGTAGGCTTCAGTATACACGACACTTTGCCTTTGGTCGAAGTGACAGCAGTTTGTGAAATACCTAAGACATGTTGTTCTAATTTTGAACGAGGAAGCCCAAGTTTTTTCACACAGTGATCAGTGATAAAACAACTCATGGATCCAGGATCAATTAGTGCTCTAAAAGTCTGAAAGTTGTTGGTAGAGTCTCTAAGCTGAATAAGGGCAGTGCCAAGAAGAGTAGTTACACAGGGTGTAGGAGCATTTGTCTGATGAACAAAGCTGACTTGAGAAACTGATGTTTCCTTGTGGGTTTCAGGCTGTAACGTTGAGTCTAAGTTAGGCCTTGGAGATTTATTTTGGTCAAAAGTTGAATTAGTCTTGAGGAAATTATCTTCATGCAGGGAAGTGTGATGTTTTTTGCCACATTTTCTACATAAATGAATTGAATTACATTTATTCAGCATATGTGTCGCATTTAAACAGTTAAAGCAACATTGTTTACTTCGGATGAAATCACGTCTGGCACCAGGAGTCAAGTTAAGATATTCAGGACAAGAATACAGGTTATGGGCCTGAGTGCAAAATAAGCAAGTTGGAACCTGAGTTTTGGCGAGAAAAGTTCTTTGTACAGACTTGTCTGACTTGGAATACTTGTTAGGCTTACTGGTGGAAGTCGAACGCAAGTCGGTTTGCCGGGAAGTGGTGTGAGTTGAAGCAGGAGACGAGCCCTGAGCTGCATCAAGAGACTTGCAGTGATCCTTGAGAAACTTCAAGAAATCATCTAAGGTAGGGAACTCTTTGTCTGAGAATTTTCTTTCAAAAAGTTGGCGAGTGTGCTTATCTAACTTTTTCAATGAAATATGTAAGATAATGAAATCTTCTAGATTCGGAAGTGAACTAATTGCTTTAAGAGCCATGGTGTTTTCTGTAATTAAGTCTAACATATTTCTCAGCAACTTGGGATTTTCATAAGTCACTGATTGTAAACATAAGATTTCTTCAATGTATTGACAAGCGAGTAGACGTTTATTATCATACCTGTCATTAAGTTGGGTCCAGACTAAGTCAAAATTATCTGAACACATAGGCAGTGATCTTACAAGTACATTTGCTTCATTTTTCGTACAAGAAATCAAATAGTGAAACTTTTGAATTGGTGTAAGTGAATCGTCTGAGTACACTAGGGCTATAAACATTTCCTTAAAGTGGGGCCACTCTTTCATAGTGCCATCAAAAATAGGCAAGTTAATTCTAGGAAGTTTTACATTAGAAGTCGAACTAGATTTTTCTATTTGTGAAGCATCAGACAACTGATCTTTAGAAAATAATTTATTTCTAATGGCTAGTATACTGTAATAGTTATCATCTACTTCATTGGTCACAATTTGTAATGATTTCAATTCCTCAGGCTCTTTTAACTGAATAAAACATTTAGCCATATCGTTTTGATATCTTACAAAGCTTTCATAATGGGCAGGTAGCCGCTCACAGCGAACCTTGAACTCGGAGAGCTCATCTGGACTATGGTCTACAGATAAACCTAAACCCTTTTTTTGAAGTAAATCAATTTTCTGTACAAATGAATCCCTCTTAAATTTAAGAAGTTCAATTTCCTTCTTGAGCTTTTCAGTCATTTTGATAGGTTACGCATAAATCAAATCAAATAGTTTATAATAATGTCAGGCCTAGTGAAGTAAATAATAACAAAGTTGGTCATGTAGGCCTACTTCATAACAAACATGAAATGATTCAATATTCATTGTAATGATAGAAGTCTACTTTCAGCATTAAGTAGAAATAATAATAAAAGGAATACACACCAGTAACATGTTCAATAAATTCTTCAATCTTCTTGTATTATTCAGAATACAGTCATAACATAACCTCAATGTAAATGGAAATTGGAGAGAATGGTTGTCAACATTGAATAAAACCAAATAAGTTAAAGTAACTCTGGGAAATCAGGTGTACCAGCAGTGATGCAGGCTTTGACTCTCTTTACCCTCTTGATGTAGAAGTAATAGAAAAATTACCCTCTTCTTGAACAAAAATTTCCCTGCTACTCTTCTGGGTAATAAGAAAAATTACCCTCTTCTAGCACAAAAATTCCCTGTCGAGGGACAAAGTAAAATAGGTTGTTGGTGGAACAGTGGACTTGAAAGAATTAATTGAAATACTCTTGAGACAGTGGAATTGAAGGAATTGAAAGGTCCAATGGTCCTGTCCACATCACTTGAACTAACTTGAAATGCTTGAATGTGACTTGGCTTGCATGAAATTACATGAAAACAATCATTCTTTTCCTGAATTGAAAAGTCATAAAAATATAATTTAAAATACTTCTTGAGGTTAATGTCTTGAATAAAATTACCAAATTAATTTTGGAATTGAAATATGTGTTACTTTAGTTATTAAAATAGATTTTCTTGGAATTTATTAACTGTTGTAATTTTATTTCTTGATGTGACTTGATGGTGGGTTAAAAATTAAATTGGAAATATTTAAGTTAGGTACTGGATTGATTATCAGGGTTCGAAGGACCAAATGTTGGATATAATAATGGGAACAGCCCAAAAAATTAAAGTGAAAGTAAAAATACCTTTTGCAAGAGTAAATTTGCTTACTGAACTTGTAGTGTAGTGGGGTACCCCATGTGTCTTCTTCAGTGGCTAACACGGAACTAGCTTCAGAGATAACGTTGGGGTTGACCTTTGATACTGAGGCTGTTTATACAGGTTGGGTGACTAAGGAATAGGGAAATTGTTAAACTTGATTGTCTAGTACTTATATTTAAATTGAATTAAAAAATCTTAACTGTTCTTTTTTGTCAATAGTAGCTAAACACTTGAAGGAAAATGATGATAGCGTATGGTGCACGGGATGAGTTTATCCAGTTTGAATCAACTGTGAAATAAAGGATCATCATAATTCCCACTCAATCCCCGTCCTGCCATCCCCCTGTCTCGGCATATGTGACCTTGGACGTGGCTATCGCTGTCACCCATTGGCTTTTCAATAAATGTCTAATATTACCTCAACGTTTCGCGTTACTTCCTGTTGTCTTTATTCCACTTCTCTACATAAAATATTATTCCAGTAGAGTTGATAAAGATAACATATGACGTATATGTTGTAATTTTTGTTAATGATCTTTAAAATCCATATCACGATAATCCATAGTTTGATATTTTGTAACACATTATAATATCTATAGCCTTTATTTACTTGCAACATCGTTATAAGGATTACCGTATTAAACGATTAAACTAATTTCAGTTCATTCAGCCCTAAAAAAGTTTTGCAACTAAAAACATAAAAAAATTAACTGTATGACAACGAGATATAATTTCATTATGATATTTCAGTTTTGTGACAAACATATTAAGGACCTTGAAATGAAATGAAAAATGAAATGAAATGTTTATTTGTCACATAGAATTTACATAATTGTGATACATCACCAGTAAACATATGACACGTCAGGTTTTCACAGCAAAATACATGATATTATACATTTTATTTCATTGTAGTTGGTAATATATTAAAAAATAAGGCCAGAAGATTAAAATATAACAAAAAGAGTGACGTTAGTTAAAACAAATTCATCAACTGAACAAGGACAAAGTAGTTCCAAATGTTCCCTAAGTATTTTTTTTTTAATATCCATCTTTTCTGTCAATTTGATTTGGTTAGGGAGGTGGTTGAATAGCTTCCCACCCATATACAAAGGAGCTTTCTCATAAATAACTGTTCTATGGATAGGGATCTAAAGAGTGTTTCTATGTCGAGTGTTATATGGATGTTGGTGATTTTTTGATGAGAATGAGGTCAAGTGTTTTTTAACAAATATACATAGTTGATATATATACACAGCATGAAATGTTAATAGTTTTAAATTTACAAACAGAGGACGACAACAAGTACGAGGTGCAGTGTCAGTTAAAACTCTTATGGCCTTTTTTGAAGAATAAAAACCCATTTATGATCGGAGAGCTGTCCCAAGAAATAATGCCATAGCAAGCCCTGGACATAAAATAGGAATGGTAAACAGTCAAAGCAGCATTTAGTCCCGTTGTTTTGAAGATGACCCTTAATCTAAACAAAGCTTTGGCTAACGATTTAGTCACCTGAAATTGATGTTCTGTCCATTTTAAATGTTCATTCATATACAAATCCAGAAATTTTATGTTTTCTGAAGCCTTGATTTGTTCCCCAGAATCCAA